GTTTTTGGGGATGGGAGCTGAAATGAACCCCAGAGGGGGCTGAGGGGGTTTGCAGCAGGAGAGCACAGGTGCTGCACTCACAGAATATATACATATATATATATATATATATATATGATGTAAGCAGGAGCTGGTTTCCTGTGACATGGCATTGTTTATTTTGAGCAGGCTCTAGGAACACTTTGCAGCTCTTTCCCCATCTCTCGATGTGCCCACACAGTAAATGATCTGTAATCATTAACGAGTGGGCTGCTTCCTCCTTCAGACACAATTAGTGGGCAGGGTCTGGAAAAATCTTCCACAATCTCATTTCCTTCACAGGATGCACTTGAGAGCCCGGTGCTGCCTTGGGGGAGGCAGGGCACAGGAGCATCCTTCCCTCCCTCCCTCCCTCCTTCCCTCTAATGGTCCCCAGGGACTCCCTGGGTGGGGAAGGTGAAATCTCAGCTTTCCAGAGGCTGAACCAGCAGCAGGAACCTGCAAAGGCTCGGGGACAAGCAGATTTAGCGTTTCTAAAAAGTCCTACTCTACAAATCACAAGTTTAGTCATTGAGTCAAAAGCATAAATAATGTAAATGTTAACTTTTAATTAGACTATTTGCCCTTAAAAAAATCCTGTAACTAGCAAAATCCAGCTTCATTTTCTTGTTTTTAGCTTGTTAAAGCTAAAATCTTTAGTGTAGAATCCACTATATTATAAATAAAAATTAAAATAAAAATTAAATACTAGAAAAATAATATAACTATACTATAAAATAATATTAAAATAATATCTATAATAATAATAAAAATCCATCTCCCAGACTTTTAATCCTGACTCTAAGTAAAAAAACAAAAAAACAAAAAAACCCAACAACAAACAAACAAACAAACAAAAACCAACCAAAAAACCCCAAAAAATCCCCAAACCCCCAAAACTACCCACTGATTTATAGTGCCACTAACACCCAGCCTCTGCTGAGAGCAGGGCAGCTGGCTGCAGCTCCCTGGAGCATTGCCAGGAGTGATGCCATCACCTTGGTGCCCCCAAATCCCAAGCAGAGGTGGTTGTGCCCATCCCCTCCTCTTGCCCCATGCTGCCAGGTGGGAAAAGGCCTTGCTGGAGCAGGAGCTTTGGATTTACACTCGGGGAAAACTGGAATAAATCAAAGCAATTAAAGTGCAAATGAAGCTTTAAGCGATGGCAGCACCCTAATTACCTGGGAAGCGTGTTGTGTACACTTCTGTCTCACTCCCTTTTTTTAAAAATAGACGGCATTCAAATCACATCAATAATTTAAATTAATTTGCCAGGTAGAGCTGGGCTTTGGGAAGCACCTGCTGGTGCTGTTTTTGCCAGGAGCCCTCCAGGCTGGGAGATGGGGTTTTGTGGGGGGATCCTGGCAGCTCCTGCACCCCAAGGCTGCTGTGCCAGGAGTGGGTGCAGGAGGGCACTGTGATGGGCAGAGCTGGTGGTAATTAATCACCACAATGAGCCAGCAGCATCACAGGCAAGAGCTGAGTTTGATTTCCTCCCAAGCTGCTGGAGCAAGGCTGTGACTGCACGGCCTTGGGTAACCACGGGTGCCTTTAATCCAGGAGAGCTGGGAAAAAGAGGTGCAAGACCAAGAAATGACTCCTCAGAAATGACAGAGAAGAGGCACGAGAGGAAGAGGGCAAGGGCTGGCTGCAGCAGGGCAGCAAGGAAAATCCAGGAAATTCCAGGAAATCTGCAGCCCCCTCCATTCCCACTGGAGCCTCTCCCATCCTGCAGGGAAGCTGGGAGAGGGCTGG